GTAGGATGCGCCGATTGAGGATGGTGGCTAGGGTTCTGACAGCGAGGTAGTGGTGGTGGCGACGGCTGAGTTTATAGTGACTAGGGTTTTAAGGATAAACTAGCTCTGATACCAACTTGATTTAGGTGGAATAAAAATATTTGTATTCCAATAATTAATTAATAAGAAATACATAGCCRAGAAGAGAGACTCAAACATAAAAGGAAACAAAGATAAAATAACAATTAATATTGACAACTAATTTACAGCTAATATTTACAAATAATAAACCAACACTTCTCTTCCAATCAATATCTATTATATTTCTCGTTTAGTTGGGTTGTTACAAATAATAAACCAACACTTCTCTTCCCATCAATATCCATTATATTTCTCGTTTAGTTGGGTTGTAATTCTCTCCATGGTTCCCTTTCCTTTTTCTTTTTTTGGGTTTTCTCTCCCAGGAGATTGTATCCTTTGAACAAAAACAAGGTTAGATCTTAATAATAAAAAAGGGTTACCCGAGCATAATTTAAGTTACCAATAATCATGAACATGCCTATTATTCTACATCTCTCATTATATAAGGTTCCATTCACTTMTTTGGGCTTTATTGAAATCATAATGAACTTGGTTGAAGCCAGCAACGAAATAGTAACATACTTATTTATATCTCACGGTTCCAACAAAATCTTAAAAAAGAAAAAGAAATGATAATAAATGAAGGACATACCTGATGTAAAATTAACTGAAACTGAAAATTATTATACTCGTGCCAATACCTGTTGTGCAATGAGTTCAAGAAGATAATCATCAACCTAAAACAATCTCAAGAATTTCTTTTTACATCAGTGAGGGCAGAGATGAATAATAATGCCAACAAAAGAAAACAACTCGACTACAGGGTCACCAAGGGGATAGKGGGTGATGATTGAGGCTAGTAGGGGTATTATCTGTAATTTGCTTAATATTTTTTAATTTAGTTTTAGTTGGTATGATTACTTTTTACCAGTTAAAGTTCAGTTTACCATTATAATTATTCCCAAAGGTTCCTTGATCTGGCCGAAAAATATAATGGTTGGGTTTTGTGTATGAAAGCAAGAGTAGACCAAGATCATTTGTTCTTCCACGAACAGAATCTTAGGCGTATGATATTTCGAGACTCCAATCTTTCATGGGTGATGGACAAATGTATCAGGAATAACATGACTTGACTTCTTTGTAGGAGGCAAAGCCAAGCTCATATTGATAAATACAATTAAGCAACTACCTTACAATTTTGGTTCAAAAGGGATCAAAGAAATTTTGAAGACAAAGATACCCAGTGGAATGTAGCAAAATATAAAGTATCTTCTTGGTGTTTGTTGTTATCTTCTTTGTTTTGTAATCAGTTTATACGGGATATTCTCCTAAATTGGATTATTTTTTTCACTTGTTAATGTAATATGGGAGAATTAGCTGCCTATCATCAGTCTTTTTGACAATATTACTTTTCATGCTTTATCAGGGTGTAAAACATCCCCTATTTTCATTCTTATAGTATGAACTCTTTATTAACCAATTGGAGAAGTTTTTTGTAACTACTTTGGTTTTTTTGTGGGTTCACCCCTCTCACTGTAATTTCATCCATCAATGAAATTTTTTCTTATCAAAAAAAAAATCAACAAGTTCAGTTTCCATCTTTAAAAAAGAAATACATGTACCTCTCTTCCAGTTCCTTAAATCGGACAGATTTAAGCTCTAGTTCTTTTAGTTCAGCATTTACTTCTCCAAACTGGTTCTCCGTCTCCTTAATGGCTGCTTCAAGCCTTCTCTCTTCTTCCTCAATCTGAACCAGAAAAAAAATAGAAGATCAAACAACCAGTTTCTTTTAATGGAATAATTCACTCGAGATGCTATTGATTAAAATTCATTCTCTCCAATTTTTTCATAAGAAACAAATCCAAATTCTTCACTTACATACAACAAAAAGAGAACAAAAGGAAATTGGAAGATGACGAGAGAGGAATGTTTGGTTGTCTTCAGCAACCATTTTCCTCTATACTATAATATATATATATATATATTTTTATTTATTTATTTCTCAGAATCGATGTCCTGTGGCTTACGCTTGTAGCTTACGCCAGTAGATCTCTGTAACTAGGATTCGTTGTTTAGGCTCGTTAGAGTATAGATATTAGTATATTTTATATTCTTGTATTAATATTAATTTGTCATTTACCTTCTCCTTATAGGATTAGGTCAACCTTGCATATTTATCTATATATATATAGACTTTAATAATGAGAATACATCACATTGGATTCTCTCCAACCTTAGTCTCTACATGGTATCAGAGCTCTAGGTTTTGTGCCCATTAGGGTTTTGGTGCCCATTAGGGTTTTTTTTTTAACAAGAAACGGACTTTTCATTGATAAATGAAAAGGAACAAAAATTGTTCAAAGATACAAACCCCCAAAGGGGTGAAATGAAGGGGACGAAGAAGGAAAAAAATAAAAATAAAAATAAAAATAAAAGTAAAAAAAGATACAAACAAACCAAACTTAATAAATTTAATAAATGAGGCTTAGACATTACACAAAAAAGTCTCCCAATGAGAACAAATCATGCTAGGAGAATAATTTGCAAAGAGATTGGAGAGAGCACACCATTGTAAGGCTTTGAACTTAGCTATACTGTAGCATTCGAAAGCTGAGCGGCTTTTCCCTTCGAAAGTCCTTTGATTCCACTCAAACCATAACTCAGATATAAGCGCTTTAAGGCCGTTTACCCAAAGAAGACTTGCTTTAGGCGAAAAGAAAGGACCAAATAGCAACTGAGAAATTGAYGAAGATACTGACTTGTCCTTTACCCAAGCTAAATTGAACATATGAATGAAAAGATCCCAACAAACTGATGCATAAGGACAAAAGAGAAACAAATGCACTTGGTCTTCGCAAGTGGCAGCACACAAAACACATATAGAAGGTTGGAGGAGCATGATAGGCAGCTTCTTTTGGAGGGTTTTGTGCAGGCTTTTTGTTCATTGCTATCCAACTCAACTCACTACTACCGCCGCCGCCGCCGCCGTTTGCTGATTCGCCAACGCTGCTGTTTTCCAATTGCTATTCGTGGGTT